ATTCACCAACTAACTATCTGCTGCCTTCAAGAGACTCACCTAACACATAATGACTCATATAAACTTAAAGTAAAGGGGTGGAAAAAGGCAATTCATGCAAATGGACACCAAAAGCAAGCAGGAGTAGCTATTCTTACATCAGAAAAAAACAAATTTTAAAGCAACTGCAGTTAAAAAAGACAAAGAGGGACATTATATAATGGTAAACATATATGCACCTAATACTGGAGCTCCCAAATTTATGAAACAATTACGAATAGACCTAAGAAATTAGATAGACACAACTCAATAATAGTAGGGGACTTCAATACTCCACTGACAGCACTAGACAGGTCATCAAGATAGAAAGTCAACAAAGAAACAATGGATTTAAACTACACTTGGAACAAACGGACTTAACGGATAAATACGGAACATTCCATCCAATGACTGCAAAATACACATTCTACTCAACAATGCATGGAACATTCTCCAAGGTAGACTATATGGTAGGCCACAAAATGAGCCTCAATAAATTTAAGAAAATTGAAATTATATCAAGCACTCTGCCAGACCACAATGGAATAAAACTGAAATCAACTCAAAAAGGCGCCTTCAAAACCATGCAAACACATGAAAATTAATAACCTGCTCCTGAATAATCATTGGGTCAAAAACAAGATCAAGACGGAAATTAAAAAATTCTTTGAACTGAATGACAATAGTGACACAACTTATTAAAACCTCTGGGATACAGCAAAGGCGGTGCTAAGAGGAAAGTTCATATACCTAAATGCCTACATCAAAAAGACTGAAAAAGCACAAACTGACATTCTAAGGTCAGACCTCAAGAAACTAGAGAAACAAGAACAAACCAAACCCAAACACAGCAGAAGAAAGAAAATAACCACAAAGCAGAACTAAATGGAATTGAAACAACAAGAACAACAACAACAAAAATACACAGGATAAATGAAATAAAAAGCTGGTTCTTGAAAAAGGTAAACAAAATAGATAGACTTTTAGCAAGATTAAGAAAAGAAGAGGGGGCCGGGCGCGGTGGCTCAATCCTGTAATCCCAGCACTTTGGGAGGCCGAGGCGGGTGGATCACGAGGTCGAGAGATCGAGACCATCCTGGTCAACATGGTGAAACCCCGTCTCTACTAAAAATACAAAAAAATTAGCTGGGCATGGTGGCACGTGCCTGTAATCCCAGCTACTCAGGAGGCTGAGGAAGGAGAATTGCCTGAACCCAGGAGGCGGAGGTTGTGGTGAGCCGAAATCGCGCCATTGCACTCCAGCCTGGGTAACAAGAGTGAAACTCCGTCTCAAAAAAAAAAAAAAAAAAAAAAAAAAAGAAGAGGGAAAATCCAAATAACCTCAATAAGAAACAAAACAGGAGATAGGGGAGATAGTACAACTGACACCACAGAAATACAAAAGATCATTCAAGGCTACTCAACCACCTTTATGTGCATAAACTAGAAAACCTAGAAGAGATTGCTAAATTCCTGGAAAAATACAACCCTCCTACCGTAAGTCAGAAAGAATTAGATACCCTGAACAGACCAACGACAAGCAGCGAGATTGAAATGGTAATTTTAAAAAAACCAACAGCCCAGCGAGGTGGCTCACGCCTGTAATTTGGGAGGCTGAGGCAGGTGGATCACAAGGTCAAGAGATTGAGACCATCCTGGCCAACATGGTGAAACCCCATTTCTACTAAAAATACAAAAATTAGCTGGGCGTGGTGGCATGCACCTGTAGTCCCAGCTACTCGGGAGGCTGAGGAAGGAGAATTGCTTGAACCTGGAAGGCAGAGGTTGCAGTGAGCCGAGATTGCACCACTGCATTCCAGCCTGGTGACAGGCGACAGGCGACAGGCCACAGGCGACAGAGCAAGACTCTGTCTCCAAAAAAAAAAAGAAAAGAAAAAAAAAGAACTACCACCAACAAAAAAGTCCAAGACCAGATGGATTCACAACAGAATTCTACCAGACATTCAAAGAAGAATTGGTACCAATCCTACTGACACTACACGACTCTACAAGGCAGAAAATTTGGGAACCTTCCCTAATTCACTCTATGAAGCTACCATTACCCTAATACCAAAACCAGGAAAGGACATAACCAAAAAAGAAAACTACAGATTGATCTCCCTAATGAACATAGATGCTAAAATCCTTAACAAAATACTAGCTAACCAAATCCAACAACATATCAAAAAGATAATCTACCATGATTAAGTGGTTTTGAACCAGGGATTCAGGGATAGTTTAACATACGCAAGTCAATAAATGTGATACATGACATAAACAAAATTAAAAACAAAAATCACATGATCATCTCAATAGATGCAGAAAAAGCATCTGACAAAATACAACATTGCTTTATGATTAAAACTCTCAGCAAAACTGGCATACAGGGGACATACCTCAATGTAAACCATTTACGAAAAAGCCACCACCAACATAATACTGAATGGGGAAAAATTGAAAAGCATTCCCTTTGAGAACTGGAACAAAATAAGGATACCCACTCTCACCATTCCTCTTCAACATAATAATGGAAGTTCTACTCAGAGCAATCAGACGAGAGAAAGAAATAAAGGACATCCAAATCAGTAAAGAGGAAGTCAAACTATCACTGTTTCCTGATGATATAATCATTTACCTTGAAAACCCTAAAGACTCCTCCAGAAAGCTCCTAGAACTGTTAAAAGAATTCAGCAAAGTTTCTGGATACAAGATTAATCTACACAAATCAGTAGCTCTTCTATACACCAACAGTGACCAAGGGTAAAATGGCTGAGTAAGCTTTAGACTATAAATCTAAAGACAGAGATTGTGCTCTCTTTATACCAAGTCTTGTGGTGAATATTTAAAGTGAATTGCGAACTCAAAAGAGCTTCTCTAATTCTTTCACGGTTTCTCCCACCTTTTTTCCCTCAATGACAGAAGTAGATTGAAGCCAGTTGATTCGAATTAGTAGACTAACTCTGTGTGGGATTGGATGACACTGATCTATCTAGTAAGAATTTAGCTTAACTCAGGTGTTTGGTTTGCATTCAGATTTTTCAGGAATTAAGTATGGTGTTCTTTCTCAGGGATTTTTTTTTTATATATAGAGAATTACAATTTGAGATGAGATTTGAGTGGGGACACAAAGCCAAACCATATAATTCATGTTGAGGTACGTTTTTGCTATGCCTAGTTTCTTGAGAGTTTTTGTCATGAAAGGATGTTGGATTTTATCATGTGCTCTTTTTTTTTTTTTTTTTTAACATCTGTTGAGACAATCATAAAATTTTTGTCCTTCATTCTGTTGATATGATATAATTACATTTATTGATTGCATATCTTGCACTGTCCTTGCATCCCTGGGATAAATTCCACTTGACAATGGGGCATAATATATTTTTGATGTACAGTTTGCTAGGTTTTTGTTAAAGATTTTTTATCAGTGTTCATCAGGGATATTGGTGTGTAGTTTTCTTTTCTGTGTGTCTTTCTCTGGTTTTGGTGTCAGACTGTTGCTAGCCTCCTAGAATGAGTTAGAGAGAATTTCTTCCTCTTTAATTTTTTTAATAGTTTGAGAAGAATATTAGCTCTTTATAAATTTGGTAGAATTTGGCAATGAAGCCTTCAGATCCTGGGCTTTTCTTCGTTGGGAGTCTTTTTATTATGGATTCAACCTTGTTACTCATTACTGGTCTGTTCAGTTTTTTATTTCTTCCTGATTCCATCTTGGTAGGTTGTGTGTGTCTAGCAATTTATCAATTTCCTCTAGGTTTTCTAATTTGTTAGCATATAGTTGTTCACAATAGTTTCTGATAATCTTTTATATTTATGTGGTATCAGTTGCTATGTCTCCTTTTAATTTCTGATTTTGTTTATTTGGGTCTTCTTTCTTTTTTCTTGGCTAGTCTAGCTACCAGTTTATCAATTTATCTTTTTTAGAAAACGATTCTTTGCATCATTAATTCTTTGTGTTTTTTTTTTTTTTAGTTTCTATTTCATTTATTTTTGCTCTGATCTTTATTATTTCTTTTAGTAATTTTGGTTTGCTATGTTCTTGCTTTTCTAGCTCCTTGAGGTATATTGTTAGATTGCTTATATGAAGTCTTTTACAGCTGGGAGCAGTGGCTCATGCCTGTAATACAAGCACTTTGAGAGGCCAAGGTGAGCAGATCATTTGAGGTCAGGAGTTCAGGACTAGCCTGGCCAACGTGGTGAAACCCCACGTGAAATAAAAATACAAAAATTAGCCAGGCGTGGTGGTGGATGTCTGTAGTCCCAGCTACTTGGGAGGCTGAGACAGGAGAATCACTTGAACCTGGGAGGTGGAGGTTGCAGTGAGCCGAGATCATACCACTGCACTCTAGCCTGAGTGACAGAGTGAGACTCTGTCTCAAAAAAAAAAAAAAAGAAATCTTTTTCCTTTTTGATACAGGTGTTCACTGCTATAAACTTCCTTCTTAGCACTTCTTTTGCTTATGCAACTTCTCCTCCTCTCCCACAACACATTCAGTCTTTCAGGTTAGGCCTTCACAATGTCCCTTCCATCCTTCCTTCCTGCTCTTCCTGATGCCCACATTTCAATTTAGGTAGGCTTTACCTTGTGCTTGGATCTTGCCACCCCTTCTGCCTGGCCTCAGAAGCTTTTTCTGACCTGTCTCGACCATGCTTACTACCAAATTTAAATGCCATGAATATTGCAAATGTTTAGTAGTAGCACTATCATCAAATGTTCCTCAAAACAGTGTCTGGTCTAGTGAGTCACTTTCAGGGAGTCTCACTACCTGTTGGGTAAAGTCCAAATTCTTTGCAGCCCAGCACTCATGGCTCCTGCCACCTTTCTTCCTCACCTCCTTTTGTCTCCTGAAAAAAAAGTGAAACTCTGTCTCAAAAAAAAAGAAAAGAAAAGAAAAGAAAAAAATAGCCAGGTGTGGTGGCAGGAGGTGGAGGTTGCAGTGAGCCAAGATTGCGCCACTGCATTCCAGCCTGGGTGACAGAGTGAGACTCCATCAGTAGCACAGATGGCTTTGTAAAGCAAATAAATACTCATTAAAACTTTCAATAGGCTTCTCCTGTAGCACATAGTCAATGCGTTGGCCTCCATTGAGCATCCCCACATTGAAAGGCAGGACTTCTTTAACTGTCACAGAGATCTCTTCTGTGTTAATATCACTAGGCTTCTCTGAAGTTGATTCAGGTTCTGCTTCAGTTTCTTCTGCCGTTTCTGAAGCTTGTAAGGCGGGGTATGGAGCTCTGGTAAAAGACTTCCAGGCCATCCGCAGCGAACCTAGCAAATTGTTCTTAAGGTCCATACTCATCCTGGTCAAGCCCTCTCTCAGTTCTAACTGCATCCGCTTCCTGTCTTTATGATGTGGGATCAGCATCGGCTCAAACTCCACTCCTGACTCATGCCCTACATTTAAGGCAATTGGACCTTGTGCCTTTGCCCCTTCTGTACCACATTTTACAGCCTCAATGACTTTGCTCTCCTATCTCAACATCAAAAGCAGCCCAGACTACAAGACCTGTGTTACACGCTCTCTTCTTCATGAAGCCACCCTTGCCTCTGTTCTGCTCTGCCCCTCTAGTGACCTGATTATTTTCTGCCCTGGCTTATAATTGGTTGGCAGTCTGGTTGAGCTGTTTGTCTTGACTCCCACTCTTCCTATGCTCTATGATTTTTCCCACTTCAGAATCCCTTCTGGGATTGCCTGTGACCTCAGATAAATTGTCGTTATTTTTGTATGTTGCTTACCTAGTCAATTAGTAATCTGCTCCTGGAGTTGATGTGTTACTTCTTAGACTTACATTTTTAGTATCTCCCATGATTTGAGTGTTGTGTTTCAGTGCCACAGATTACTTGGTGAAAATGTGTAGACTGAATTCGATTGTGAATAATCACAGGATTCCCTGGTTGAGGCAGCTGTACGTTTACCTTCTTCATATCTTACTTTTCTTGCTTGTAAGATTATGCCAATTTTATTCTGTAAAAGAATGGCATGGAACAAAATTGGACAGATGCTCTATCTTTTTTCAATGTTGTATATTTTTATTGTTGCTTAAAATAAATTTGCTTCCTAGCTTAGATGCAATAGAGAAAACCAGTTTCTCAGGTGTGGTTGCAATCCCCAACTAACTTGTGATAAAACCTTGTAGGGTTTGGATTCTACTAGATAGATTGGAGACAAAGAAAACAAAAACCACACCATTTTAATACATTTTACTTAGTAAAGCCCTCAGAGCAGAAGCTTAAAACAAGCTCAGTACACAACAGGGGAATCAGGCTGAGGCTCTTCCTTTGTAGGTTAAAGCTGTGACACAGACCCAGCCCCGTGCTGCAGCCACCATCAGACCCCTACACCCACCTCCGTGCTGGACATCTCGACCCAGAGCTCCCGCTAGCACCATGAACTCTTGACAGCTAAGATGGGCTCCTTATTTTCCCTCCTAAACTGTTTTTTTAAAATCTTCGTTGGTGATACCACCTTCTGGCAGTTTCTGGGAGCCATGGGAGCCAGGGAAAACCCCCTATTCTTCTTGATCCCTCCTGCTCCCCATGCTGATTTTCCTTCCAAAAATTACCATTTTCAACCATTGCAGAAGCCTCTTCATGCCGTAGATTTCTTGAGCGCCACCTTGGTGATCTCTCTAAAGCACAAATGAATATCTTTTGCCTCTGTTTGAAACCTGTTTCTGTTTTCCATGAACAAGATGCTCACTTCCCCTGTCTGCCTGGTGACAAGCTCATCCTTGGAAATCCTACACAGATATCTTTTCTTCTGGGCTGTTTGATTCTCCCAGTGACTCGATCTCTCCCTCCTCCCTTGGGTTGCATGGCTACCCTGAAGGTCCAGACAGCTGTCTCATACCATGTTTGCTCTAGTTAAGGGCTTCCCATCTGTCTCTGTACTGGGTGGTGAGTGCTGGGATAGTGGTGGCGGTGGATTGGTGTTTGCTAACTGTGTGCAGCAAGCTGCCAAGCACCTAATAGAAGAAGCAAAGTTAAAACCTGTTGACTTGAATATGCAAACAAATCATCACATCCTAGTATTCCAGAGGAAGAAGGGATGTGCTGTCTTCTCTTTTAAGTAGGCATTTTATAGCCCCCAGACAGCTACAGATTGAGTATTCCTAATCTGAAAATCTGAAATCCAAAATGCTTCAAAAGCTGAAATTTTTTGAGTGCCAACATGACTCTCAAAGGAAATGCTCATTGGAGCACTTAGAATTCTGCATTTTTGGATTAGGGATGCTCAACTGGTAAGTGTAATGCACACATTCCAAAATCTTAAAAAAATCTAAAATCTGAAACACTTCTGGTCCCAAGCATTTAGAAGAAGGGATACTCAACCTGTAGTAGCCACTGCATGAGTTTGTCTTGCCCTGTTTCCCTGTGTATTCAACAGGGTGACCCTGTTCCTTTCATGTACCATCTGCTTTCCATCAACCGCCCTTTCCACATCAGTCAGTGTATTTTTCATATCATCTGCATGATATAGTGGAAGAGTCATTGAATTTGGAGTATACAGACCTAGGAACTTATCCTGGCTCTGTTAGCAATTTGTTGTATGATCTTGGAGAAGTCATCTATTTTTCCTCAGCTTCAGGTTTTCTGTCTGTAAAAGGGAAGGGTGGTTATTAGACTAAAATTAGTAGTTTTAGATATGCTCTGGGGTTAGGAAGGCAACAAAATTGGGGCCTCGTCCCTGCCTTCAACCAGAGCCTTCTGTCAAGGTATGTTTTATTTACATATCTTGGTAATATTTAGTTTGAACCAAGGTTTCAACGGTGTTTAAAAATCCCTGGATTGATGAATTATAAAATCCATTTCCTCCTATTATCTCAGGAACCACAGTTTCTCATTCATTAATAAGGAAGAGGTTTTGCTAGTCTTCTGCAAAGGATTATTGCTTGCTGTGAACATTTCTCCCCCTTTAGTTTTCTTAAAATCAAAATTTAATCGTAGGTCCCACTGTTTCTCTGAACTGACTTAGCATGTAAAACCTGGCTTGCTCGTTTGTTTGTTTTTAGAGACGGGGTCTTGCTCTATTACCCAATTTGGAGTGCCGTGGTGTGATTCTAGCTCACCACAGCCTTGAACTCCTGGGCTGAAGAGGTCCACCCACTTCAGCCTCCCCAAACACTGGCATTGCAGGCATGAGCCACCATGCTTGGCATTGTTTCTATTTTTATTGTCTTTTCAGCCTTTGCTCTCAGTGTATGCTGAGATTTGATAGCTGATCATAAAGCACAGCTCTGTGGGGATGTCATCTTGGAGATAAGCTGCTACGCTAAGGGCTGGAGGTAGGCCCAGGCTTGCCTTTTATGAGGTGAGTGGGAAGAGAAGTACTGGGCGTTGGCAGGATTTTAAAAATATACACCATTTGAAAAGCATTTGTTAAACAAACAAACAAAAAAAACTAGTAAGCAAACTAAAATGCAGTGCATTTGAGTATAAAAGGAAAAAGAATTTATTGGGTGCCTTCCACAAGCAATGTGCTGTGTTGAGGAGTGAAAAACAAAGACTACACTGTGTTTTCTCTTCCAGAGTCTACACACCAAACATCTAAGAAGCCATTAAATTAGCCTAACATTTGGAGGTTCATCAATGTTTGTTTCCTACTGAAAACAAAGAGCTTGTGAGCCATTTTGACCTTGCTGATAGAACCTTCAAAGATGAATTTAGTTCAGACTTTTTCTCTGTGACCTGCATCTGCATTCTTTGCAGTGTGTATACTAATAGTTCAAGGATAGAAGGCACATTACAAAATTTATAATAACTGTTATTAGTGACTGAATTGCTGTTTATTTTTTAAAATGAAACAAACTCATCAAAAAAAGCATGGACTCTTGCCTTCATGGTTTTGCAAGTGCTATTCCTTTAATCTAGAACATTTTTCTTCCTGTCTTTGCATCCCCTTCCGCTGGTTAACTGATTTCTGAAGTCCCTGTTTAGAGTATGAGTCCTTTGGGAAGTCCTCCCAAGTCTGAGTTAGGTACCCCTCTTGTGTTCTCCTAAAACATCTTGTACTTACCCTTATACATAGAGCTTACTGAGTACTAACCATGGGTGTACTTTACCTATTTGGATTTACTTAATCCTCTCATCACGATAAAGTAGTCCCTGTCATCATCACCATTAGACAGAGTGGAAACTAAGATGCATAGAAGTTAAGTGACTTGCCTAGGGTAACTTAACTAGCCAGTGCTAGAGCAGGGGAGTCTAGCTCCAGAGTGCATATGCTTAAGTATTCATGGACTCTTGTGCCTCCTGGCGTTGCCAGTATCAGAACAGTCTTGCTGGCAGTGTTTCCCAGGCCTATCAATTTGTTTGGCACTTAGAAGGCATTAGTGTATACTTGTTGGAAGAGTAGATGAAGCATGACTCTCACCTCCAGGAATTTTCTGTATGGTGGCTTGATCACAGAAAGTTATGATATGAGGTCAGAGGCAGAGATTTCAGGAGGCCTGAGGACATGGGAGGAGGGAAAGACTCATGCTGTCTGGGAGTTGAGGGCTGACTCCAGTGTGCCTAACTTTCCCCCACAAGGAGCCGGCGTCTCAGCTGGACAGTGACCAGCCTCTCTGGTTGTGTCAGGACAACCTGGAATGTCTCTTGAACTAGTCACCCAGATAACCTCAATTTTAAGAGAAATAATACATGTTTGATTTGTAGAAGCCTATTAAAAACAAAAACTTTTTTTTTTCTCAGTGCTAAACAGTGAAGAAGTTAAACTTGCCATCTGAACAATGGAATTCCCAAAGCACAGATAAAGAGCAACTTCTTTTTTAAGAGGATTTTGAGTCTAAAGAGTTTGTCTAGAGGAAGCTATCATGAGCCACCCACATTTGCAATGCCCCTGGTCTGGAAGGGAATAGAATGTCAGCAGAGGTTGGCTGAGAGAACCGCAGGGAGGACACCCTGCCTCCTTAAGGATGGCAGCCTGAGTGCTGGGCATGAGGTATTGATGAGAGCTGCTACAATTCGCAGGTGTCTTTAACAGCACTCATTCATACATGTTCAGATAGGCTTTACTTTAGAAAATAGATACATTGCAGCAGGGATGTCAGAACATTTTGCTGTAACCAAGTCTGTGCTTGGTCTTTGCCTGTTTCCTGAACATGCCAGACTCCTTAACTGCACATGGGTTTCTTGCCTCGTCCCCTTCCCCTGGGTCCCTCCAAATCCTTCTTCCTCTCGCATTGAGCCTTCTCAGGTAACTCCACTGTTCACTAATCTCCCAATTTTTGGAAATGCTACAGTGTACTAAAATGGCAAAGTCGGTATTATCTGACATCAGGTTGTGGAGTTTAAGATCCGCTTCTGCCAATTTCTTGGGCATGCCACTTAACCTCTCTGAGCTATCCGTTTCCCATAGGTAAAGGAGACATGAATAA